CCCCCCTAATTCCCTATTAAAAACAAACAACAAAAGAAAAACAAACACAAACACAAAATCTCAAGAGTACAGTTGAGGTCGCCACCGATACGATATGTGAGGCAGCGTGGTGGAATCAGGCTCTCGTCAAAATAATCAAAATGAAGAAACTTGAATTTTTTCCGCAGGTTTGTGAATTTTTATCAAATTTTTGTTATTTGGCTAAACACCTTTCTTCCCCATTAAAAAACTAATTTCTGAGGTGATTTTTCTGAAAATTGTTGATTAAAGGCGCAAAAATTGTAGAATTTCAGTTACCACGGACCCTTAAGCTAAGGAAATAACTAACCATTTTCTCACTAATTTTACCTCTGAAAACAAGTGACCCCCACCTCCGTCATTCGCAAATATCTCAACTTGTATTCAAGATAAATGGGTATTTTTTCATCCAAATAAAGACAAGTGAACAAGCTTTAAGATGATACCAATAACTTTACATGCCCAAAAATTGACGAGAGCCTGATTCCACCACGCTGCCTCACATATGGTTATAATTTGAAGACGAGAAAATTTAGTCGGATAGCCAAAATCATCAGAAGGAATTAGATGAATAATGAAGTAGAACTTACAGGACCCCCTCCCCCTCCCTCCCCCAAATCCCCTATTAAAAACCAAACAACAAGAAAAAAGCAAAAAAACAACAACAACAAAAACAACAACAAAAACAAAACGAAAAGAGTACAGTCGCACGGTCTCTGTACAATATGTAGTTCCGATGACTCGGAGTTTCGCTATCACGCTTTTCTGTTCCATGAAGACAACTCTTGGGACTTGAGATATTCGAAGTACACTTTGGAGGATTATGAGTTGTGAGGCAATAATACTACAACTACAATCTTTAGAGAATGTTTGTATGTCTCTGCAACAAAAATAAGTTTGTCGTTGAAGTTCAAGTTCAAGATAAATAAATTGTGTGAAAAACTTTGTGTGTGCGAAAGTTAAAGAAACGCGCCGTCATGCAAACGAAGCCAAAGGGGAATAGCGAAAAATTAGTGAAAGACCTACCTACGAATGACACCCTCCAACCATCCACAATTACGCTATACTTTCCGTAGGTATATGGTTTATCTATCTATCTATCTATCTATCTATCTATCTATCTATCTATCTATCTATCTAT